TATATATATGTAGCCCCCATCACCTTTTGTGAAATGGCTGCTAGAAATGCAATGATTGCCGGCGCTTTCGTCAGTCTGGCAGAATTATAGTTGGCAGTTAACTGGTTAATTCCACTCGTCCTGACATTGATTATACCTGGCTGAGTGGAGTGTGACTCTGCTGCAGTGTGTGACATCCAATGAGGGACACTGTGAGTGTGTGTGCAGTTCACCAGCCAATCACTACTGGGGCTCTCACAGCCAGTGTTGCATGATGGGTAAGTGCAAATATACTGGAGGGAATTGCCATGTGCTCTGTCCTAGGCAGGCTCCAGCCATGGATTAGTCCAGGTTGGGGTGCTGTCCAGCCTGCCCCCAGGCTAGGCCTGAGACCTGGGGGGTGGGAACTCCTGAGTGTGGAAAATGCTCTGTTTAGGCCTCAAGCCTGGAGGAGGCCTCTGTCATTGTTGAAGGGGGAGAATCAGGGAAACTGATGGCTACTGGAGATGCCTGGAATATGGAGGACCTCAGGAGCAGGTCTGGTGTCTCTCCTATTGAAGATTCTGTACCTATCCCTATTTACCTGTGCTACAAATGGATCTACAATGAAGTACCAAAAAGGGACTGGTGAGTCTGGAGTCTGTGTCTGTTCTACCCTGGATGTCTAGGATCCCCATACTCCCTCTCCCAGCTTGAATATGTTAATAAAGTTCTTCAGCATCATACTTCTGGTCTGGATATCAGCTCTGTGGGTCACTAGAAGAGAGCAGTTAATGCTAATCCCTAGGCAGGCTATTGATGACCCGGGTTATTCCAGCGGCTCCTTCGGGGGTGAGCGCTACATAGATGTAGCCTCAAAACTCCTCATTGGCATGTACACTATATTACCAAAAGTATTGGGACGCCTTTACACGCACATGAACTTTAATGGCATCCCAGTCTTAGTCCGTAGGGTTCAATATTGAGTTGGCCGCCCTTTGCCGCTATAACAGCTCCGCCTCTTCTAGAAAGGCGTCCACAAGGTTTAGGAGTGTGTCTATGGGAATGTTGGACCATTTGTGAGGTCAGGTACTGATGTTGGGGGAGGGGCTCTCAGTCTCCACTCTAATTCATCCCAAAGGTGTTCTATGGGGTTGAGGTCAGCACTCTGTGCGGCCAGTCACGTTCCTCCACCCCAAACTCCCCCATCCATGTCTTTATGGACCTTGCTTTGTGCACTGGTGCGCAGTCATGTTGGAACAGGAAGGGGCCGTCCCTGAAACCCCTAAACCCAATATTTGAAGGGGGGGGGGGGTGTTCCAATACTTTTGGTAATATAGTGTATATGCCAGGTGCTCCTCAACCACCTTCACCACACGTGGCGGGGAGATCTCGCGGTAAGTTACAATTTCCAGCCAGATTGGAATTGTGCGATATCCATTTTTCAGGACGATATACTTTCAATCCAAGATGATTAGAGGTATAAAGAGCGTCTTTGATCTGTATTAATAATTTAATTGGATCTTATTCATTTTCCATGCACATCAAACCTCAGAGAGTGAAGCTGTTTGCATTTGTTCACACGACACTTCGGTAAATAATAAATCATGTCTGATATGAGAGGGAGACCTCAAGTGAATTAAGCGAGCTTGTTTCTCCCCATCAAGAATTCCTTGTGTTGTATTATTTTCACATAGCTTAATTAATAATGGGGACGCTAATCACTTCACTCCTGCGCTATGTAAAGTGTCATCTCGCTGCAATTACAGGACCTTATTCCTGCTAATAAACTCAACGCCGACAATCGCGCGCCTACTTTCGGCTGTCACGCTTCTGGAACAGTTAGGAGAGAAGTCATTAAAGTGGAGAGAAAAGTAAAAGTGTCTCACTTTCCCGAGTGTTGTGAAACAAAGTTCTGACAAAGTCCCTTCAGTTCAACCTGTTCTAATAAAACTCCACTTCTGTTACTGAAGAGAGAACGCAATTATGGAGAGGACTATCACTGCGAGTGCGGAGACAGCAATGGGATGAGTACACCTGTCTCCAGGAAAGAGAACGGAGTCTGTAAGAGATACTTTCTGATAAAGGGTCAGCCTACCCAAAATGAATATTTCATTGTTAATCCACCTGACAGTCTCTTCTATCCCATGAGGACTCTATTGGTGAGATCCCTGTGCTGAGTTCCCGGGTCTGTACACCCACTGTGCCCATTATGAGGGTCCCCCACCATCCCTGTGCTGAGCTCCAGGGTCTGTACACCCGCTGTACCCATTATGAGGAGCTCCCACCATCCCTGTGCTGAGTTCCCGGGTCTGTACACCCGCTGTGCCCATTATGAGGGGCTCCCACCATCCCTGTGCTGAGCTCCCGGGTCTGTACACTCGCTGTGCCCATTATGAGGGGCCCCCACCATCCCTGTGCTGAGTTCCCGGGTCTGTACACCCGCTGTGCCCATTATGAGGGGCCCCCACCATCCCTGTGCTGACTTCCCGGGTCTGTACCCCCGCTGTGCCCATTATGAGGGGCCCCCACCATCCCTGTGCTGAGTTCCCGGGTCTGTACACCCGCTGTGCCCATTATGAGGGGCTCCCACCATCCCTGTGCTGGGTTCCCGAGTCTGTACACCTGATGTGAGGGGTTCCTACCCTCCTTAGTGGCTTATTTATGTATTTTATATTACAGTGAATGTTCCAGAAAGTGCTGTAGCAGGGAGATCCTCATGGTGGGATTATCCAAGACATATAAGATGTCAGAGGTGAACTCGCGCTCCTGAGGCTTTACCTAGCGCTAAAATATCACTTTTGGATGGTTCACTTTTCAAAGCAAGCTTCTGAGAAGATTATTGTTCTTTATGGGAAGAGTAGCGGAGCTGTGGAAAGGGTTCTCTATTGTAAAAGTGGATAAGCTCTGCTGTGAGAGGCCCAACTTACCAAATCTGTCTTTCTTCGACCTAGATAATGTAACCGCGGTTACCAACATTCTATACAGTACATCGGTGAGCTGTGTACCTCGCTCTGCAGCTGGTGAGCCTTCTTGGCCCACTGGAGCTTCATGTCCTCGGGTCCGGCAGTGTAATGGTGGAGCATCACCTTGTAATCCTGGTCACTGGCCAGCGCCTGGGCTCTCTTCGCGTGGACCAGGTCCAACATGTCGGCGGGGAGGTGGTACTGGGAGTGGATCCGCTGGGAGCCCAGCTTGTACTGGCGCTCGCTCTGCAGCTTGGCGACGCGGCGGCAGTGCAGCATGTTGGGGTCATCCAGAATGCTCCGCGAGCCGATCAGCTTGCCCTTCTCACAGATGTATTCATGTTTGTACTTGTACTGCGGAGGAAGATCACAACCATCACATTACGCTGACCCTAAAAGGTGAACCCAAGCAATGCCATTTACCCACTTGGGGAACGTAGACGTAGAAGATACGCCCCGAAAAATCTGGTGAAGTTTTTAGGGTGTATCTCCTATATCCTGCTCCCCTCCCCCTTCCTATTTAACACCTTATTAACCATTAGGTAACCCTAATAAGCCCTGCTTAACTCCTCCCC